AATGGACAAAGTTTGCCGATCTGTAGATTGAAAACGCCCCAGTTCCGAGAATTTTCGTAAATAAAATAGTTGTAGGTTACAATGAGATGATGCTACTTACGAAGTTTCAGGCGGATGTTAATAACTTGATGAAAATGGGTCTGTACCATGGACTATAAGCCAACAAGACTGACACTTAGTTTTTGTGGATAAAAATTAGAGAGAAAGAATTCTCAGTTTATCCTCACCTACAATTTTACACTTTCGTAACAATTCAAAATATGTACGAAAAGTATTTTGAGGATCCCGTGGCACTTTGGTCTAAGATTCATCATGTCATTTTAGCTTAATACTTGCTTACCATACAGGGATGGAGGGAGAGGTTCGCCACTGGCCCCATTTTCTTATAGCGTTCCACGGTAGATGATTTAAAAACAAAACACACAAATATTTTCTTTTACCTGACGAGAACGATTTTTTCGAACTTACGCAAATTAATTTCATTTCGCATCTTTATTATTATCCCAATTTTTCTATTTGATATATTTAAATACGACGTAACCACTCTTATTTACAAAAAAAAATAAAGAAATAAAAATAAATCTAAGTATCCCAGTCTTCAGTACTTATCAAAAGTTCTAATTTTCTATATAAGTACATGGACCTTCCTCAATGGTCCATCCATTGACCCAGAACCAATATCTCCAATTATCACCACTATTCGGAATTAATTCCCTCCGTCCTTCAAACCTCTGATCACCACCAAGTGGCACGTTACACAACACAACTTAGCTGGCCACGCAGCCTGCACGTGGTCAGCGCTTGCCCATGACGAGTGCTTTGTTCCCCCTCGATTGTTCGGCCTCCCAAAAGAACCAAGAGAAAAGACTTATCCGAACTGATCTTTCTTCAAGGCTCTGCTCCATTATACGAAGAAGCACAATGTAGCCTATATTCTCGATATATTTTTTTTTAAGGCCTATTAATCCTCAAAAGACGGGAAAACTCTCTCAAAAATAAAAGTATAGTTTCAATAATCTGCACTATATAGCTGGTCGCACCCCCCCCTCCCCTCCCCGTCATCACATGTAAAAAAAATAATGTAACGATTGATTATTTCCAAAGTGAACACTAATCGATTTTTATAGAAATTGAGATAAGTATAGAACCGTGAGTAAAAAAGACTCACTTACCCCGATGCACACGGACGATTAAGGGAAAACACGCGACATCGGTTAAATCATTTTTTTTTAAATTTAACTATTCAATAAAAACAGTAAAAAATGTATATTGTGCCAACTGAAAATATTCTCCAAAACTCTGCCAACAACACAAGGTATCAATAAAACAGTTTATTTAGTTTTTGGAATTAAAAAAAAGATGTAGACAGATTCAACTAGATTTTACGAGTTTTCCCTTAGTCGTCCCACTGTGTTATTGTGCGCTATTACTTTTCTTCAAAAACGAACCTAAGTATTAAAAATAAATTGGTGTAAAGTTCATTTCTGAAACCGATCTTTTTTTCAAGAAATGTAATGAAACTTTCATTTCTCATATCAAAAATAAATTTATTTAAATGTATCATTATTATAAAAGAAAAAAGTTACTTTTTTATATTATATTTTCTATACCTTTTTCGTCGACTCGCACACCAATTTTCTCTCCGAAATCGTCCAACCTTCTTCTTTTTTTTTTTGTTAAGAAATGGGCATTGAAGTTTATGTCTTTCCAAAAAGGATCTTATTGAAGTTTCAATGTTTTTTAATTAATACTGAAATAACATGTATTTTTTTTAAATATGTTCTACACAAAAAGAATTTTCTAAATTATTTAAAAAAAATATATATCGGTTTTGATATTACGATTGGTATAGAAAATATATTTTTTGCATTTCCTGAAAAAATGTTAATAATAAAAATGATTCTCATTGGAAATAAACGAATCGATTCTCATTTGGCTTTGCTTCTTGGTTTATAAATCAGAAGGTCAACTAATTATAAAAGTCTAATAATTAACAATTTACTTTAATAATATATATATTTTTAATTATTGAAAATTATATTATTATTATTTTTAATCTTTCATCCATTACCTCTACTTATACAGGCTATCAATTATCATAAACCATATGAAAGTGTTTTGCTAAGAATAGGAAACAAGATCAAAATGATTGATGTTGACTAATTCTCACAAAGATTTACCTTAAAATAATGTTTCTTATTAAAAATATAAGGAAATAATTAGTAGTTTATCTTTAGTTTAGCAATACTTAATACAGTAATTCATATTCATTATTAACCATCTCGATGGTGTGAATTGTTAATATAACTTAATTTATAAATATTCAAGACATGTAAGTTGCTTGGCAGTACTGGTTATTGTGGTTTTGCCCATTTGTTCCTGCCAATTGGAATATTCCACTACTCCGTTAGAAACCTTCGTTAAATCGTTTCAAGCGTGTCGCGTGGTTTTTTTTTTATTTTTTGCTAATTTTATTTTTACCTAGATGATGTTAATTCAAATAAGCATGTACGGTATAAGACAAGAGAAATAAAGTCTACCAAAGGAAAAAATGACAATACTAATACATGATTATATATACACCACACAGACCAGCCAAACAGCTTAAAGCCACACGATGAAAGTGAAAACATTAAGAAGAGGAGATATGAAATAAAAAATGTCGTTAAAAATAGTCGTTATCGTTTGCTTTTCAACACTATCTTTTTCCTTTTCCGACTCTTACTCGGCGTTCCGTCAAAACAAAATTTTGATTTATAATTCATTACAAAGAGGATGAAATGCTAAAAATTTACCCCACTTACAGTATGCAGATCCAATTTCTAGTTTCTGAGATATCTTAATCCAAATGCAAAAACACTTCAATTAGTCAACTCGAGCCGACTTACCAGAATGAGCGTTGCATATCCGATCATGACGGATCGATCTCATTTACTACCCACGAAAACGTGCAAAGCGCGTTTAAAGAAGTTTTCATTTAAAAAAAAAAAAAAAAGCTGTACCACTACAACGCATGAAGGGTCTTAGGTACTTTTTAGTTTTAGTACTTTTATAGTTAAGGAAATGCTGTTACAAGGCCAACGGTTGTTGAGGGAGGTGATCGGGCCTGGATCGCGCTCAAATCCAGAGGTACGATGCACGGGCGGATCTACGGGAAGGGAGGAGGCTTTGTCACTTATAAGCCTTAACAACTTGGGGGGCGGGGAGATCGACTGGGCTAACGTGTGTGCACAGCACCGTGGGTTGTCCAACAACCAAGCTTTGAGATTGAAAAAAAAGTACGAGTTCGCGTCCCGGTCCCAGAGAGGATTTTCAATTCCCCGCCCTCACCCTTCAATCCGGGAAAATCCTGTATAGCCTACAAGGCGAGGTAGGGAAGAACAGAAAAAAAAAGCCTTAACGAGTTTTAAACGATTTCGCAAAAAGGTTTTCATCAAAATACCGTAACTTGGCTATTAATCTTTCCAAGATAATTCAAATTATTACAGATACCATAAAATTGAACAACTATTTAGCTTCTCAGTCAGGGATCAGTAAACATCTCTTCTTTATTCAACTCACAGGTTCTTCAATTTAACAGTGGTAGTAAGCTATAAAATTGGTTTCAGATTTGGCATAATTCGTACTTGCAGTAATTTTTTTCTATTTAAATTTTTTTTCGCTTTCAACTCGATTAAAATTCGAAAATCCATATTAAAAAAATTAATCGTAATCGAAGTGGGAGAAGAAAGAGACGGAAATCAACAGAAGTTGAAGCATATTTAAGTTCAAATTGGTCGATCGAGGACAGTGAACTTGGATCACGCTCCGGATGAATGTACAACCATTTCTTTTGTTTAGCAATAATACCTTTATTCCCAGTCGTACTAAATAAGTTATGTATAGTCGAAAATTCGACGATTCTATTTTAATCTAAATTAAAATTAAATTCAAAATATAATATTGTTTCCGTATATCCAACAAAATAATAAATTTAATTATATCGTCTGTACAAGACCGATCGTGTTTTGTTAAAAATATTTTATTATATATTTAATAAAAAATTTCATAAACTAAGAGAGAGAAACACTTTATTTTCATAAAAATATAAAATATAAAAGATTGCTTCCCAATCATATTGGGTTTCTATATACACAGCAAACTCTTTAATCCTTAGGATAATAAATGAACTTACATATATATATATATATATATATATATATATATATATATATATATATACAGAAGTATTAGTTTATATTAGTAAAATAGATTTATATATATATAAAAAAAAAAAAAAAAAAATATATATATATATATATATATATATATATATATATATATACACATTTTTTTTCTTCCTTTCATTGTTCATGCTTATTTTTTTTTTATTACATAACGCCCAAATTTAACTTAAGTCAAATATATAAAAAAATAATTATCATAAAAACATATATAAATCGACTTGTTATATAAACATTTTGTTTGCCAGGTATTGTTTACTGTAAAGCAAATATCTCCCTCAGAGTTGCTTGATTACACAACCTTAAAATAAAGATAATAGCGGTACTTTGGAAATGATAAGATGCCGACAATTATGATTATCAACAAGACAAAATAAAAACTGAAACAACACTTTTAGATAAAATTTTAAATTAAAATTGACACAAAAAATAAAAAACCTAATATTGGAAAAAATACCATAACTGGCATGAGTATTATATCTGAAAAAACAAAATAGCCACAAATTTTCTTGTATATATAAATTACAAATATACTGGAGAAATCTAAGTATTTGTTTACTTACAAGTTTATTTTTTAATCATTATCTGCTTCATTAATAAATATATGTTATATAAAGCTTCTGGTTTTGCTGTAGTCCTGATATTTCATTCACAAGTTCAAAGCCAAATTTTAAAAAAATAAATAAATGAAAATAAAATTTCTGATTGACCACCCTTCCTTAAAATTGAAGGAGCTATTTATGTTATATTATAATATGATTGTTATATTTATTTCAGGTTGGAGCCGCTCTGATGGCGAACCTGGGTACAATCAACACAGGAATGGCATTTGGGTTTTCTGCAGTAGCTATACCTCAACTGGAGGCCCCTGATAGTCTTATTCCCATTGACAAAGACCAAGCTTCCTGGGTTGGTAAGTAATGGTCATAATGAATAATAGTTATGATAAATCTATTCCTAACAATCCAGCTTCTCTCTCTATTCCTCCGTTGAAAAATCAATAATAGCAAATAAAAATAAAGAAATGAAATAATTTGTGTGAATTCCTTTAGGATATGAGCAAGTTTATAAAACAGATTTTTTTTTCTACATAAGGAAATTTTAAGGTCTAATCCTAATGAAAACTACAAGAAATATATATTTTTTAATAATTTCTATTTTTAAAACATTTTTTTCTATTTAATTCAAAATATTTGACAAGCTTTGAATTAAAATTATCCATATTGCCATTAGGACTAAGAAGCCATAAACTGCTAAAGCAATGAGACTAATCTCAGAATTTTTACCATTGTTTTAATAAGATTTAATTTTATATCATTCAATTTTTTTTATAGTCTATAGAAGTTTAGAAAACACTGAATATCTCAAAATTATCAAAACTGGATTAATTCCAACCTTCATTCTAACCATCTATTAAATATTATATTAATAGTGATTACAATATTATAGCTGTTTTTATTTTATTCTTTTTTTTTTTTGGCACTAAGGATCTGCAACCTGGGCCTCTCCTATCATATTCCTTCATTATTTTAATCTCCTATACCGGACAAGCATCCTTCATCATCTCATTCCCGTCTTCTTAAATATCTTCTATGTTCTCCACTTGACCTAGCCATCTGCGGGATGATCTTCCTCTACCATATCTTTCACTGTTATTAATCTATGCTTTCCTTAATTCTGATCTCAACAAAATATTTATGCTGATGTTTGGTTGTGCAGCTAGCTTGGCAGCAGTTACAACGCCTATAGGATGTATTCTCTCTGGCTGGATGATGGATGGAATTGGAAGGAAGAAGAGCCTCATCGTGACCCAAATCCCAACTATCATTGGATGGCTGCTAATTGCTTATGCTGATTCTCTCGCAATGATCTACGCAGGCAGGCTTCTCGTTGGCCTGGGCTCCGGGATGGTCGGTGCTCCAGCTAGGGTATACACTGCAGAAGCAACACAACCACACCTAAGAGGAATGTTAGCTGCCATGGCATCTGTTGGTGTCTCTTTAGGTAATTTTTCACTTATTTTAATTTTAATTTCTGCTCAGAAAAATATAGTTAATGCTATTGAATTCCTAGTTTCATGGTCCCATTGCAACTTGAATTATCTTCTTCACAGGTGTGCTGATAGAATACGGGGTGGGTGCAGTCTTTGATTGGAAAAGGGTCGCTCTCATAAGTAGTACTGTTCCAGCAATATCATTAATTGGCTGCTTCTTGATACCCGAGTCCCCTCAGTGGCTAGTTTCTGTCGGGAAGGAAGCTAAAGGACGTGCTGCACTCTCTAAGCTGCGAGGACCAACCTGCGATATTGACTATGAAGCAAATCAGATGATCAACTTTGCCCTAAAGAACAACCTGCATAAGCCTTCGACGGAAGAAATACTTCGAGGACTGATTCAACCAGCGGCTCTCAAACCTTTCTTCATTCTGACATTATACTTCCTCATTTACCAGTTTTCCGGAGTAAACTCTGTCACCTTCTATGCTGTTGAAGTGTTTCAAGTAATTATTTTTTTATATTATAACTGCTACTTTTAGTTTAAAGAAAAAATTATTATTAAACAGTTAAATAATTTACAACTGCAAAGTTATAAAATTTATATATTCATTGTTTCATTAATGACTGCTAATTTTTAAAATGATAAAACATTCTTTTCCTTTAGAGACCCGTACTTTTATGAAGAGGCTAAGTAAATACATGTAAAAGTTTGTTTTCTTTATTTAGGACTCTGGTGCAACATGGGACAAATACTTTGCGACTGTGATGCTCGGGGTAGTGAGGCTAGTCATAACCTTATTTTCTTGTGTATGCATGAGGATGTATGGCAGAAGAACTCTCACATTTGTATCAAATAAGTGAATCACTCTCATATTTTTTATTTAGATTAGAAATAATCAAGAAGGATTCACAGAATTATAATTTTGTTTTTTCTAAGTTAAAACCATTCCGTAAAAAGTTAGGTTATACTAAAGGACTAGTACAACTTCATGACTACCGCTCACCTATTTGACAACAACCACAAGAGTTTATAGAGCTAGCTAAGAGAGACCTTTCTTTCCTTTATTGATTAAAAAAGCTAAGAGATAAAAGAGATATCGGTTTGCCTGGCCTTCAGCCTCTGGAGTGTAGTAGACATAATAAACACAATATTAAAAAATAATACTATTTTGGATTCTGCATTAATACTTCACATGCAATACAGACACAAATAAAAACAAAATTCCAAATTTACAAAATAATATAACAATATAAGTAGATTATAAAGTAAATATAGGAAAACAACTTAAGGGAGAATGTTGTGGATGGAAATTGGAGAGGTTATGCTCATGGAAAAAAAATTCTTTCTGTAAATAACTTTATACTTCTATCCTGTAAAATATACTATAACAATTTCCTTTTTTATTTTATTTCTTTTACATTCTTTCATTAAGTCATAAATTAATTATTACATCAATAACATATCGTTAATGTAAGGCAAAAGCACATTATAAAGCTCTCCCTCGTGTTGTTTACCTGTGACATAATGTACTATTGTTTCATACATCTAGCTCTTTAAAATTACATTTATTAGTGCATTAATCTCACTTTTTCCTTTTCTGCAGGTGTTGGATGTGGTGTATCACTGATTACTCTTGGTGGTTACATGTGGATGGGTGATAAGTGGGCAAAGGAAGGAATAGAACCAATAGCTACGTGGATTCCTATTTTTGCTATATTTTTGTTTACTGCCGCATCCGTACTTGGTTACCTAGTGGTACCCTGGGTCATGGTTGGAGAAGTCTATCCAACACAGGTAAACATTTTTATATAGCATAATTAATAATTTAATTTAAGGCATAGTTTAAAAAACCTTTTTAACTGTTTTTGGTCTTCAGATTGTATTTCTGGTCTAGTAAATGGTATTGTAATTCACATTTTCAGAGCTTAGTTTTGGTGCAAAATCAAATTGGGAAAAATTCTTGGCACAGCGCTAAATGTAACATTAAATTAATAGAAGTTATGATACTTCTGTAGGGTAATTATAGTGATTTGATGTTTGGAAAGATTATATACAGCATTTTAATTATTAAACTGAAAACAAAAATAGAGATAATTGATGGTAAAAAAAAAGAAGAGGAAACAAATTTAAGTATTGTTAGTTATAGTGCAGTCAATTTTGAAAAGAATTATGATAAAACAAACTTTTAAAATATTTACTTCAGTAGATTTTATTAATAAAATAATTTGTATTGCATGAATAGATAGTAAAACTCCAGATAGTGTCCAAACGTTATAAAAATTATTGGGCGTTTTCGGAAAATGGTTGCACAATCATTTCTGGATCTGGAGGCTGCAGTGAGGAAACTCGGTCTGACTGTCAACAAGGAAAAAACGAAATACTTGGTAACCCAGGAGACCCCCGTACATGGCACTAGGGTGAATTTTGGATCCTTTAGGTTTGAAGATGTATCAGAATTCACATACCTGGGCTCTCAGATCAGGACTGTTGATAACAGGATGGATACAGAGATAAATTTTGCTGGCCAACCGTTGCTGGTATGAGTCAACACATAAAAAACACCCTGGTGACTGAGCTTAGCAAAGTAATCCTCTACAAGGCTCTTATCAGACCGGTTTTAAGTTATGCATCAGAGGCCTGAACGATAACCAAGGCAGCCGAGCAAGACCTAATATTTGAACGAAAAATTCTAAGAAGAATTTATGGTCCAGTGTGTGTGAATGGAGAGTGGAGAAGGAGGAAAAATCAGGAGATCTACCAGCATTTTAATGAGGACAATATTGCCAATTTTATAAGAGCAGGCCGTCTCAGATGAGCAGATCATGTGGCTAGAATGAGAGAGGACATGATCCCAAAGATGGTGTTGGTTAAAATCCTACATGGAGTGCGATAAGTAGGAAGATCAAAGTTAAGATGGAGGTACAGCGTGGTCAAAGATGCGAGGAAGCTAGGAGTTCAAGGCTGGATGGTGCCGGCACAAAGCAGACACACCTGGCGGACACTGTTGGCAGAGGCTATGACTCGCTAAGCCAGTTGTAGAGCCATTATTGATAGATTTACTGAGACTCCAAATTAATAACCTTAAGTTTCTCAGAATAAGGTTTATCACAAACTAGTCAACATCTCGCCTTTTCAAGCATTTTATGTTAACCTGAGATATTATTTTTTTAATTAAATTAGAAGTGCCTTGTATTGCACTATTAACTCATCACACATGAATGACCTGAGAGAAAAACAGACATATTCCAAATAACTTGAAAAAGAGAAAAAACAAAATTCAAAGTTGGACATAGACTTTTATTCTCTATTACACTTTTATTCAACATTTTTCTAATACATTTTTAAAACATATAGAATTGTTCTTTTGTAAGTTGGACCTACCAGGATTATAGTGTTTTTCTTTATCTATTTTAATCTGCCAATAAATCAATTTTGAAAAAAAAATGTAACATCGCCTATTTCCCTACTTGATCTATTCAAATATTCAATAGCAAAGAAATAATCACTTAATTAAATAACTTTCCCTAAAATATTATTAATTTATTGGATAAGGTTATTGGAAAAAAAACTTACAAATATTATCTTTATCTGTTTAGGTAAGAGGAATCATTGGAGGATTGACAACATGCGGATGCCATTTCTTCATATTTCTTGTGGTTAAATCCTACCCACTTTTCCAATCTCTATTCACCAAGCACGGAACATGGATCTTGTATGGGTGTATCTCATCGTTTGGAACAATATTCTTCTACTTCTTCCTTCCCGAAACAAAAGGCAGAACTCTACAGGAAATCGAAGACTACTTCTCAGGAAGGAGAAAGAACCTTGGAAAACCAAATCCTCCTAGTCAAAATCCATCATTCATTCAAATTCAAAAAGGAAATGTTCTACCGTAAACATTTGTGTTTCACGAGCATTACTAAATAATTTATTTTTAATATAAAAAGTGGATATACTTATTCAACATTCAAAAAGTCCACTTTAAAGAATTGATTGAGTTTGCAGATGTTCAGATCTCATTAAGATGATGGTTACTTTACTAAAGTTATACTTAAGAAATGTGATAGGAATAAGGAAAAAATACTTAAAAAGTATCGCGACCTATATGTTTCCTAGTATTTTTCTTTAAATATGTATTGAATCTATGTGATTTATTTTTGTATATATATGATATTTAGTATTATAATTGATGGAAAGTGATACGAAAGTAGAGACAGTATGATTTTTTCATAGTACTTAAGGAAAAGTGCCTTCCCAGTGCATCTACAGTGTTCTCAGCACGATAGTATTAGGTAGATCAAAGATTTAGGAAAGACTGATCATAGCATAAGCATGATAATGTTAATATTACGAAATTCTACTTGTATATATAGATATATGTTGAATGAAACCTATGTGTATAAATTTTTTTTTACAAATTTAATAAATTATATATCTTTAAAATATAGAATAAATGGTGTAAAATATTATTTTAAAAACTGATTACCCCCAATCTTATATTCAAAAACCCAAAAGTATAACATAGACCTACAGATGAACATGCAATATGTAATGATGAAATTGTATATTTAAAAAGCCCATTATTTCTGTAAATTTTAATAACATTTATAGATATTTTATAATTAATAACCCTAGGCTGTATAATGTACTAATATAATTTAATTAAAATAATAAAATTATATTAAAAAGAATTAAAGATTTAAATAATAATAAATATTATTATTTTAATAATTACATTATGTCTTAATGGCAACAGTATTGTGTCGAAGTTATTTAGTATATTAATTCTTTTCTGTAATATTCAGTCTTGTAGTTTGGCTAATATAAAAATAAAACTTTTAAATTAATAAAAATCACAATCCAACGGTAACTGTGTCAAGTAAAATTCCGACTTTGTTATACTTGAACACTTTTTCAAAATTAATTCTTGAACATCATCTGTCTTTCCTATTTTATTTATTTCTCATTTTACATGATCCCCATCAACATTTCAAGTTTTATCTGATCTTCAAAATAATTAACTAATCCAACTATTCATCATTCTCTTTTTTTTTTAAATATTGGTGCGGAAATAATTCATATTTGATTCAAAATAAAAATTTAACACCAAAATGACAATGAGAATGATGAATCGCTGGCAATGTTATACATTCTGAAAAAAAGCTGAACTAGAAATGCTAATCTTGTGAAAAATGAAAAATAAATAATTTTGGGAAAGGAACATTGCGTACAAATATGAATTATAAATATAGTAAGAATATAACAAGAGCTAACGCATGTGCTCAGCACTTGCCCGGCAACCTGATTAATGATATTAACTGATAAAGTAAGTACGAGTTCGCGTCCTGGTGCCCAGGGGATTATAACCCTGGCATTATTCCACCGCCCTTACCCTCTGGCCTGGAAAACCCTCCCCCCTCCTTCCCCTCTCCCATATAGCCTAAAAAAAACGAGACAGGAGAGGACAAAATAATAAATATAAATATAAATATATATATTATATATTATATATAATAAATCTTATAAAATAATCAGACAATTATTTTTTTTTTTTTGTGTGTTCTGTTAGGGACTTGTGCCTTTTAATTAATACCTATGGCCTTTGTAGTTAATTTGTAATATTAGCTTTATATTACATAAAGCACAGCTACTTAGTCATTATGGAAAATAATTTTACTAGAAAAAAAAGTGGTGCTTTTTATTAATCTTCTTCTTCAACATCGCTAATTTATTGCTTTTCAGCTTTGAGAAGTATATAGCCATGGCTGCTAATTTTCAGTGGTCCTAAGTAGATTCCTAGCCTGCCAGCTGTTTTTGACTCTCCTCCTGTTGAAACACACAATATATGCCATTTGAAACATTCTTGGGCATCCAGGTAGTATTTTACCATCAAGGATGAAGTATGTTTTAAACGGCCCTCTATCCTCAATGCATAGCCAAACCAGTTCTTCCATGATCATCTCATAGTGGATGTATTCTCTTCTTTATAAACCATTTAAAAGTAATTGAACAAAGATTATTAGATTATGACAAAAATTGAACATAAAGTTAAAGGTTTTAAATTAGATCTCTTTGGATCCATTATTTTTACTATGGCCTCACTAGAGCATCATTGGCTCTCATTTCTTACTTCTTGGCAAAAAACTCTTTGAAAATGTTACAGTGTAATGAAAGTGGACTTTTTTGGAATTTTTTGTTGGCTTATTGCACCACGACCCTAATGGATCTATTGCACGCATATTATATAATTCTGTTACTATTTATTTTTAGAACAATAATATTAAAGTAACACTGCTCTCCACATTTTATTTGCATATAATCGAATTCATATCAATTCAAAAAACCTGATACCAGGTCGTTTCTCCTCTTCTATTGCTTAAAATGGACTGTATTCCATTTTTTTTAATCCTCGTTATTAGTAGGAAGCATCTATTTCTATATTTTATGTATATATTTTTTTTAATATTATATAATGTTTCCTGTTGGTCTTGTCCTATGATGGTCTGTGGTCAAGAGTATAATGCAAGCATGAAAGTATGTATCATTTTCTGAACATAACCATTATTATTATTGTTGAAGTAGAGTGCATCTGTTTCCATTTTTCAACAATGTTATCACTTTTTATGTTTTTCATAACCATAATAATCTTATCTAAATTTTAACTTACAATGCATTTTATTGGAGTAATATTTGATACTGAGCATGTGGTCTAACAAAACATCAGTCTTATTTCTTCTTGGAAAATTTAAATTCACTTCAACAACCTAAGTTTATAGGAAGTAAGTCAGACTTCTGAGATTTTAGAAGTAAGAATTTGGTTAAAAATGAATTCTTTGTTCGAAAAGGTTATCGTGTTACGTCGTACTTCAATCAAGTTAAAAGTTCAACATTTTAAATATTTGTCTTAATTGAATTTACTACTCATTCTTTTATATAATTCTTATTACTTTATGTTATTGTATTCTTAATATGTTGGATATAATGTTATCTTATATTTCCACTGTCTTAAACATTTTAATTCATTTATTATTATATTCAATAAAAGTTGGTTGGGATTTTCAGTCAATTAAAGTACAAAGTAAAAATAAATAAATTATATTTAGTTTAATTATATATAAATTAAACTGACGCTTCGGCCTAAGTTACAGGGCTAAGCAAATACAAGATAACATATAAATATTGAGAAAATAGTAAGCAGCAATAGTAATAATATATAGGTAAAATAATATAGTAAATAATATGTAAATAGTTAAAATTAATAATTATGGAGACAACTTAACTATGTGGAATGGCAAATTTATGATATGTAAATTAAAGAAGTATAAAGAAACGATAACAAAGCTGTGACTTATGAAATAATGAAGAATTTATTAAATAATGGAACAAACTTAGGAAATATAAAATTAAGATAATAAAGTGATGAAGTCTAAGAAAATAATAAAATAAATTTAACAACTTATAATGAAATTAACAAAGCAACAAAAAATAAAATAACATTAAAGAGATGAAATGGAATATTAAGATATACAAATTGTAAGTGGTAAAAATAAAATAAATAGGATGACGTAGTTGCTATAAGTTAATGTCTTAAAATGATCAGAGGAAGTGAGATAAACATAGAATAATAATGAAAAACAAAGAAAATGTACATATAAAGAAAATAATAAAAGTAAACAGAAAATAATTAAATGTAGTGAAATCAATCGAAACATATATAGGAATTGAAAAATTAAGTCATATAAATTAAGATAATAAGATAAAATGAGTAAATGTAACAATATAAACAAAATAGATATGGTAAAGAGTAAATGGAGAAAGATGAGTGAGATGAATAAGAAAAATAATGATATAAATAAATATATCTTCTACAGTTAACAATTATCCACTTTCATTTATTATTACTATTTTTATACATTGGATGTATATATTTTTTCCATCAGTTATTATGGTCTTAATCTTTATAACTAATGTAAATAATAATAATATTAATAATAAGCTTTACTGACATCAATAGATATGACAAAAGCCTCTCCCTTAGGAAGGAATATAAATGGAATAAGCTACAACACAAAAGAGTGAGTACATATTAACACTTTTCAAAACATGTAAAATAAAACAACTCATATCAGATTTTCCTTCATAGAGTAACAATTTAAGGCATAAGATAAAACAAAACCATATAGCAAAAAAACAAAGACTTTAAAAGCACAAAGAATAGTAAAACAAAATACAATGCCTCAACTAAATATTATTCACAATATTTTTCCATCTGGTTCTATCACTAGCCAAAAGCCAGCGGTTATCGCCTACAAAATGTGTCATTTTGTCCCTCCACTTCGGATGAGGCCAGCTTCTTTTCCTGCTGTTATCTCTTGGAATTCACTCGGTGCATGCCTCATTATATTCAACTGATGAGCTTCAACCTTCAAGCTTTAAACATTTGCTTTACGGAGAATATCTTTATTTTTCACTTTCTCTCTCTTCCGTATTAACATTAGACTCCTCAAAAGCTTCATAGCCACACTTTTCATTAATGTAAATATTATTTTTTATTTGATTTTGTTTTTTAAATTACTGTAACCCCAAATTTTCAAATTGCTTATGTCTGTTCGCCATTAAGCTAGGATGGTGTACCTTATTGCTAATATGTCATAAGTAGTGTATTACCCAGAACCATGCTTATGTGGTATGTTTAGTACCTGGCATTTACTCATATTCAGTTTTTCCAATTCGTGACCGGCTACTACCCAGGCCTAGCTAATCCAATACATGCATATCTTCAGGTTATCTCTTAATTCAAAGCATAAAACGAGGTGTAATGCTTATGATCAAGAATTTAGAATTTCATGATAGATAGAATGATAGAAATCATGAATGAATTATCATAAATGAATATTATTGCTTTAACAATATTTGAATGACTTTATTACACAGTATATCTGATTATAATTGAGTATCCAGAATCAGGTAAAATTTTTTTCCAGAGCACCATTAATATTAAGGTTAATTGGAAGTCCATTGGTCTTCAAGGATTTTTCAGAATCTTCATATTAAATAAATTAGTAAAAACAAACAAAAATGCAGTACATTTTCAATAATTTTATATATCTGTTTTCACTATCTCATAAATTGTGAAAAAATAGACTTTATAAATTTTGTCCATTAAAATATTTAGAATATAAGTTAACTGATATATACTGGATCACTCACAGAATCCATTTTAAATAATAAAACATCATTGTATTAGTTACAATTTTGTCAGTTAAATTTATTATTTTGTATTGAAGCTATATTAAACATTTATCTCACCAATATAACTAGTGAGTTAGATTTAAAGAACTGAAAAATTAACTTTTACAAAATGTTATTTTTTTTTTTAAATACATAGACAACTTTTGAATAATTTGCCTATTTATTAAATTAATGACTTAAATACAGATCATATCAATAGGAGGATAAAGAAGAAATTTTTATCCTGATTCTTTAAGACTATTGACATTGAAATAAACAAAAATAATAACCGAGTATACGTAATGAGTAAAATCATTGATGCTAACATTTAAGTTCCTACATACTTGTTGGCAATAAGAAAAGAGTGAACCAGTGAAAACAGCATGAAATAATCTTGGCACGATGTAACAAAGCCACAACACGGTAAAAATATAAATATAATAAAAATTCATATAATATTTCATGTACACCATTTAACTATAAAGTTAGTAAAAAGAGGTAATTTAATTTACATCTAGGTATTAGTTCATTATTTCTGAAAATTATTGAATCATACCTACCGTATATTTTTAATACAAGTAGGGTAGCAGAGGAAACTAACATATAAATCTTCAAAACATATTTGAAAAATACTGATTCTTAAGTATTGCAAAGATAAAACAGAAAACAAACTTTGAAAAATAATATGTGGAAAATTAGATTAATTTCAAAATAAATTACAAAGAATACAACTTTAATAGACCGTTCCTTGTTTAAACTCAAAGAAAACATTTTGGATCTGATCCAATTTAGAGAAGAATTTTGTTAGCCAAAATTCAGTTTTATCTAAATATTAACAAGCTTTTGATTTAAATAGTAAATTTAAAAAATGTATACATCTCTGGTGTTATGATTTCATTGGAATTTCTTTACATATAAGAAAATTAATCTCATTTTAAATAATAAGACATTTCCAAATTTAATTTTACTGCAATTGAAGTTTATTATAGTTTTCTGCTTTCATCATTTTAATAAAATGATCAAAACATAAATAAGAGCATTTAGTATCTGACTACTTAGTAATAATTAATATAAGATATACAATAGGTACAAAAATAATCCACAGGTTAGTTTTTCTGGGTAAATGTGTTTAACCATTTATTGAACGAAAATAACTAATGATTATGATTAACAATTTCCTTATCAACTTTTACAAGTGAATAAAATTATAAAAACCTGTAAAACCTAGTTAAGAAAAAAATTTAAAAAGTTATTCGGGAAAAAAATTATAGATAACAAAAATAACTTTATACTTTATTGACTCATGATTTTCTTACATAATTATTAATACATAATCCTTTATTAAAATAGAAAATCAGCAAAATGTACTCTATAGAAAAATAATCCCACCAAGTAGGTCATAAATCTAAAGAACTAAGTTTTAGATATGAATGTATGCAGCTAAAGCATTCTCGACCATTCTCCACTGGCTTTAGTAACAGCGGTTAAAAGAGTAACACAGGGATCTCCTGGAATCCTGGCTTTTCCTTCTATAATTGGAGAGGTAAGCCTGTCTCGAAGTTACAACATCTGATTGTAAATAGTGTTATAGGTATTGTCTGTGTTTTAATTTACTTATCTTTAAGTCATTTTATTTTTATTTATTGTGTATACTTTGTGATTATTATTTAGTTGTTATTTTTGACCATTTTTTTTTTCTTTACATAGAGTGGAAATGTGGTCAAACCTCACTATATTTATTGTCTATGTGACAGAGTATTATATTACCCAATAAATAAATAAAAAAAACTAAGTTTAAAATGCAAAGATGAAACTGTACTATTACAACAAGGATTCAATCACCATTATATTGGAAGGATGTTGTGCATATATATATATATAATTAAAAACCAGGATCATGGGCAATTTGAAACACAAGCAAAATACATAAGGTAACAATGCATAAATAACGTGAACATTTTAGAAAGCAGTAAATATCTGGAGTGTTCATAAGGGATTGGCATAAGTTATGCCTACAAATTTTTGAAGGGGGCATATTTTGATGTTTTTTTTTTATTTTTGAGGAGGCACATTTGAACTGGGTTATGAATTTTCAGCATGAAAAGTTTCTGAATAAGGGACATTGGGAAAACATGGAATGGACAGCAGCAGGAGTAATTGTGTATTATCTACAATTTCTCTAATTCTACTTTCTGTGCAATAAAATATCTTGTGAGAGGATAGAGAGGGAGAGTAGCTTCTTGCACCATCGACCTTGATGGGGACGGGCACCACTGGTAAATATTTATAAAAACATGTACCGGCTAACTTTATACATGTTAATTTTCTGGGTACGCAATAATTCATAACATAAAACAGGTATTAAAAAACTCGAAATAAGTACTCGTGAACTCCTGCAATACATCTTATCACAGGGGTGCCCATCTACACCAACGGCGATGGAGAATATCTTCCCTCTCCCTAAAAAAAAAAAACTATAGCTCTCCTCATCTTAAAAACGGTGCAAAAGTAAAATTATGGCAATCTTAGATAATTTTTTCCTTCTTTGGTCTCTTCAATTAAAACCTCACAAAAAATATAGTTTCCTCTATAAATTCATAGTCCCGTAAATATGTAAATAAATAAATACATCAAGTAAAATAAAAACGAAATAATAGCCTATATTTGACAAAAAAAAAAACTCGTTATTCAGAACAAGAAAATTTATAATAAAAGATTCGGAATCATGTAAAAAAAAAAATAAAATAAATTTAAAAAAAAAATTAAATTCCCTGTTGCTATTAAACATTTAAATACGTTCGTCCAAACCTAAAATAATATGTAAATATATTAATCAATTTAGAAATACCGTAATCAATTAGTATTGCTCAAGTTCCGCCAGGGGCACCAAGAGGGTTTCAAGGTGCATCTTGAGCCTTCAAAATTTTTGAGGTGCATAATTCGACAGTGTTGTGAATTTTCGGAATGAAAAGTTTCGAGCCAGGGAACTAGAGGAAAACATTAAACAAACAGCAGCAAGTGTAATTGTATATGATCTACGATTTTTTAAATTCTACTATCGCTTGTTCTGTTTTAAAAAGAGGTGAGCAATAAAATAACTTTAGAGGGAGGAGAGGTTATTCACCATCGACCTTAGGGCGCATTTTCTTCATTCGTAAAAATTGTTAGGGAATGTTGTTAATCTTCACAATCATCCGTTAATGCATGTTCAAAAAATGGTTATCTCACCTCTTTCCTGGAAAAAACATAATTTTTTAACCACACGAGTTATGAGTTACTTAATATTTAACGAGTAACTATATCCTCCGGCATAGAATCAGTTATGACGCAGTTAGGAATTAGGAGATGTGAAATATGATTTATTGTGAAACAAAGTAAAGAGAGTTCGTTTTTGAGTCATTTTCTTGCCTTGTAATTTTATCCTGTCCCACCGTATTCTTTAACAAGATCTGTCGAACAGATCCGTTACCTAGGACTCCTTCTTGACAAACGCCTTACCTTGAATCCTCATACCAGACTTAAAAGACAAGAAACTGCCAACAGATTCCGACTACTACAACACTTACTTGACAAACGCTCTAAACTTCCAATATTCTACAAAAAAACTCATTTACACTCATCATCAGGCCCATTTGGACATACGTTATTGAGCTTTGGGACTCTAGAAAAGAGCTTTGGGACTTCCCGTATCCAATCCTTACAATCCAAAATTCTCCGTAACATCCTAAATCCTCCTGATTATGTAACAAATAAAATTATCCAAGACCTCAACATTCCTCTTGTGAAAGACTTCGCCCGAAATAGATATACCTCTTTTCATACCAAACTCTTTGGGCACCCCAATCCTCATCCAGTACAATTCCTGACAACCCTCCGAGGGGTCTGAAAAGAAGATGGCCAAGACACTTCTTAAATTAATATATCTTTGAAGTGTCACCAATGGGTAGCTTCTTTACAAGTACCTTCATGTAATATGTTCCTATAGCAAATTTGATGGTTGTATTTATGTTTACAGTTGTAAATTTCAATAAATTAATAAAAAAATTGTTTCATAAACAAAGATTAGCTTTTAATCAAATCGCTTAGTGATAGCGACGACACTATGCCATAATGTATGCCTGATCAGGTACTAAAACGTAAGCACACTCAAAGCTAGTAAATAAATTTTACGTACAGCATTCACCACCTGCACTTGGCAGTCAGATCAGAGGGCGATCTGTGATCCAGCCTTCCGAAAATACGGAACAGACAGTCGGAAGTAAGTTCACGAATTGATCGGGATACAGAAATACATTACAATGGCCGATGATGAGCAGGGAGTGGGATGGCTGGCGAGCGCCCAACATGGCAGTCTGTCGTAGGATGCCGGCGCGGTTCCACGAGCTACCGGGACCCATCGTCCTCTACCAGCCGTCCGAGCTCACGGTGAGTAAACCTCTTCGGGGGGAAGGTACCTTATCTGCCCTTCTGAGCGGGAAGGTACCTCATGTATGTTGTACCCTTCGACGTCTTGTAACACCGTACAATAAGCAGTCCAACGCGCGGTAATTAGGAGCATCGTACTTCAGGGTCGATGTTGTCAAAGACTCTGGATGAACATCAGTTGTACGATGATAAGAAAAGGTCTCCAGAAGAAAATCAAATCATGTACATTCAATCTGATCTTTTCAAACTTATACAGCATCAGCGGATCATGCATTCATAACACCCGCTAGTGTTGCTCAAAATCGGTCTTGGTCTTGCACTTTGCAAGACCGAGCCAAGGCCGCTCAACTGTTGCAAGACCAAGACCAGAACTGGTAAAAAAAATCGATTTTTTAAATAAAAATTAAGGCAAAATACGTACTAATACTTGACAATCTTAGTTATTTATGTTAATAATTGGTATAACCAATATACTTTTGTATTTACCTCCTCTAATTTTTCATTCGGGCTAAGTTAGGTTTCTCCTATCTAAAAAATTACATTAATATCTCTATATTAATAAGCTAATAAGTAACTGCAAGACTGTTACAAGAATCTTGCGCAAGATTAAGACCATGACCAAGACTGAGTTTGCAAGACCAAGACTCGTGTTGGTCTCGAATTTGGGCAACACTAACACCCGCACATCTAAATCAAAACAGTATTAATTCAGAAATAGTTTATTGTACAATAGGAATTGTTTATTGCCACCAACAGATCAAGTTTCTAAATACATCCAAGCTATCTATAACATAACATGTCACTGCTTCATTCAAATTGGTCTACAGACTATGAATTAAACGATTAAATAAAATAATACAGAATTTTAATTAATACTATATTTATCTAGAACTGTTTGGAAAGCAATAGGCAAATTTTTTAATAGAAATTAAGACTCGGGTTGAGAAATGGGTATAGGTCTAACTATAATAATGTTGAAGACACACTGATAAAAAAAAATATAATAAACGTAAAAAATCAGCAGATAAACTACTAAACAAGTATCAAGATATGATTAAATATAAACAGGATCCTTACCGTTTTCATAAAGTGTATTGCGAAACATCAGCATACCTAAAATAAAATTACAATAAATATCATTAGTCAACGTTGGTTGGCAAGTGTAGAAGCTTAATAACTTGCCATACCTCTCGACTATTTTGATACCTTAAAAGGCAATGGCGAATCCAGAAAGTTCCTTTAGAAAAACTCTTTATATATGAGGCTCTATATTTGATTAATTTTTATAATTGTTTGCAGCTAATGCCACTGAAGAAAGAAATTCTACTGTTTTTCGTAGAATCTAAACTACGGTCAACAATGCACGTGAAGAAACTATTACAAACGAACTGAAATTTTTTTTCGAGATGAAGTGATATTTGAACTCGAACAGTTTTTGATTTTGAAATGGGGAATTTTTTTTTTTTAAATGCGTTATTTAACTCAAAAACACAGAACGTACATTTTTATTATATCACGAGAAAACCTTCTACCTTAATTTTATTATCAATTAATTCATATTCTAGCCAATAAATAAACAAAAATCAAATTCTAAACGAAAATATAAACATATAGATTAGTAATTTAGTAAGGTTGTTTCAATATTACTTCATATATACACATAGGTGTACTTAGCATTCACATTAGGTAGGACAATAAAGATATTTTTTTTTATCGGAAAAATGTATTATTATTACAATTTATAAATATTTTTATATGAAATACAATATAAACGTAAAACAACAGCTTTTAAAAATTATTCGAATTTGCGACAAACCTTTTGTATAATATTGTGTTTTATTTTCTTTCAAATTATTTAGGGAAGGGGGAACGGCTCCATACGCTGTCATATATGATACGCCATACGCTTGCGTATGCCCATACATTAGGATATACAATGAATTAACGTAATTGATTCCAGGACACAGATTCATAAACAAAAACAAAAATCCATGTTGTCCACGCATTCCCTCAATAAAATTATTATTCATTTTAATTTTAATATTATATCTATATTTTTTCTAAAAAAATTTTTCTTAGAATAACAAAAAATGCGGGGGTTTATTCTGAAAATTTTATCAATTAATTCTGTTTTCTTCGTGACTCTCAACTACCAACATTATATGCTCCAAAGCTGGTTCTTAATATGAGTAATGCGGCTGAGTGAGAAGTGAGTTAGTGAGTCTCCTGGAGTCCTGTCTTTCCATACACTAGTGGGAGAAAAGCTCGGCTCAGACTAACCCTGAGTGAATGAATTTTGTAAATACTGTATTTAAGCACGTGTGTGTATTTATGTTGTTATTTTGATAAGTTTAGTTTCTTTTGTATATATATATTGAATTTTAGCATTATTATTTTGCTGTTTCATTTATTTTTATTTATTGTACATTGAGAGTTAATGAGCTACTCTATCACTATTACTAGTGTCCTTGGATGGGACAGATTGTAATATTTCTCAGTCAATAAATTTCAAACCATCGTCAAATAAAAAAAAAATATATATATCTCTTTTCGAGAGTATACTGGGACAATAAAATCATTGTATTTTTAGCTATTGGTGCGTTATTGAACTAGTCTTGTAATCTTCTCTAAGTAGTTTCTAATCACATGTTCTCAATCCAATGTTAGTTGAAAAATATAAGTTATTGTGTTATTGTGAGAGATTTTCCAATCAAAAGAATTTACATAATAATAATCTATCCGTTGGATTTTCTATTCAAGTCGAACAGACAGAATAAATAAAAAAATCTAGATTGCTTAAAATATGGTTTTGATTACCTTTATCATAAGTGGTATACAATAATTTTTTTTATATGAGGAGGTTGGAATAATAATAGTTTTACCTAGTTAAGCTTGCTTTATTTTGGAAAAATAAAATTTTCGTAAATGTACATAAATGATACATGTAAATTAAATTAGCGGATCATCGTCCGATGGCGCTATGGTCCTTGCATAACCTTAGCCTCCTTCATTATCTTCCTCCAAACCGACATGTCTTCGGTCGCCCTTCAACTTTTTTTTCACCACCTATTCTTCGCCTTTTAGGATTTTGCCGGACAAGGGGAGAGCGAGGAGGATTAATGCTAGAGTTTAAAGCCCTACGGCACCGAAACGCGAACTTGTAATTATTTAATATCTTATAAACTTCGGTTTATTATCTTGTTGCTAGACAACGCGTGTTTTGCACTCGCTTTAGCTCACTCTACCACCTCACCTCCATAGACCGACCCTCTTCGTCCTCTTTTTTTTTATGAGTGATGAATAAGACTGAGCCGTCACTCTCGGCGCGGATATGTAACATTCGCCAGTTCCGTAATATGGCTGCGAAACCAGGACTCTAATTCTAGAAAGCTGGATGGAATGATTCGAAAGAAAATTCCTCAGCACGATAACTAGAACTATTCGGGGTGGGAACCTTCACGCATAGAGGAGACGGAACAATAAAGAACTGCTGAAAGAAATTGTGACTCATTACATTTAGTATCATAGCTCGAAGAAATCAATCAGGAAGCCTCTAACCAACAATGGTTAGATAGTGGACAACAAACACTTGGAAGCCCAAAAACTAGATGGATAGATAGAATCAACAAAGATGCTGCAGAGTTTTCTGCCGCAAAATGGAAAGTAGTAGCCCAAGATAGGCAAAAGTGGAGAAGGCTGGTTCAGTCTTTTATCCGTTTTAGGACCCCAACACAATGGATAGCGAAACAGATTTGACTTTTTTTTCTCGCCTTGTTGCAACACCCTTCTCCGAACGCCGATGAAATGTTTCTTGCAGCTTGGCTGCCGAGTGACCAACTTTTAAATCGTAAAAGAAAAAATCTAGAAAATCGCACGTGTCCATAGTCATATTTAGTGGCATATTACTGTACAATCAATTGGAATGATAGCAAATAAAAAAAGAGAGGATCAATAACGGCTCATTATAATCTGAAAACATAAACGTAGTAAACATAAAAAAAGGTTGACTGATCCCATTTTGAGTTTATGAATTAATAAAAACGGACATTTCATACGAAATGATCTAGTACGGTTATGTTAATATTTTCCTCGCTTACCCATCAAGGAAGTATGTATCATATACTGACACGACAGACCTGGAACCAGGGCAACGATTCTGGAACGATTCTGTGTTAAGGAGAAAATACTCTTTATGAGTGACGGATATTCTTAGAATTAAAGGAAATACGCAGTTTCCCAAACATTAAAGAAAAACAGGGATTTTATTTATTTTTGACTGTCATAGAAACTATTCTATTAAAAAATATTATTTATTTAATTGTTTAGGTGTTCCGACCACTAAAATTTTATTATAAACGTCGATAGTTTTTAAGAATGTAGTAAGTCGTAAAGTCGTGTCTGGGTCCTGTCTCAATAATTTTTCGGGGTCAGTATATATAACCCAATTAGGATCTACTGTATTAATATCTTTATTTTCATTTAATTTTTTTAGACAATTATTTGTACTCTTGAGACGATTTTTTTTGTTGTTCATATGTTTTATTGGTGAGAATGTATATACTGCTCGAACCTTATTAAAGTTTTTGAACAGTAATATCTTTTGTTTAGCTGTTGATCTTAAGGCCTCTAGACTCAGAATGAAGTTTGATTTCTATTCTAGACCAGGTTTCTATATTCTGTAAATAAATTGTTCAATTATTATTATAATCAAAATTAATTATGAGTGAATTCATCAATCTAGAAGTATTCAATCATCGTAGCACTGGAGCCAGGGCCCAAAAATCGATCTCATCGCAGGCGAAGGTTTGGTTGTAAATTACAAAATACAGAGAAAAAAGAACTTTTTCTGCCATTCCAGAGCCGAGGCTTTAAAAAATGGCGGCTGGTTTAAATAATAGCCACAGCCACAATTTTTGAAAGCAGCGGCTGTGGAATGGCAGACAACGTCTATTTTACGTTTAAGGTTCGACCAGTATATACATTCTCACCACTAAAACATA